TCGGGCTCTTATCTATCCCCAAAACGAGGCAACTGTCGTTCTCAAAGAGTTAGGTCCTCATATCCCGCTTACCGGAATGAGGAACACTCTTTACTTCTATCAGAATCGCCAGTGGTGCTTTTTGCCCGATGTGTCCTATATAAAATGACCTGCAGGGACCAGCAGACGAATACGTCAATACTTCTGTCGTCTCAGAAGAATCTAGTACCAATTTACCATCTCTGAAGAGTATAAGGCTTGGTTCGCATTGGCCAGAACCGACACTGACCCCAGGTCGCGCGCGTGGTAAGCGGTCGACACTTGCTGCTACAGCCACCTCCGCCTCGTCATTCCTCATATAAATGGACAATATGGTGGGTATTATTCGTTACTCACTAAAGTGGTTGCCGATTTTCCGCTCAAACGGTGTAAACCTGATTAAGCTTATTTTTCTGGATTGCTTGAATTTCTATTCAAGGCTCCTCACAGGACGTCGGAACCGCTAGAGAAACCCGTGTAAAACACAAGAAAAAGACTTGTTAAACACATAAAAGATGGCGCCAAAATTTTTTTTGACTAAAGAGACTTAGAGAGGCACCACTAGAAGGCGCGGCGTTCGCAAGGAGCAGCGGCGGCATATTGGCGGATACTGGAGGCAGCAGACCAGATCGCTGAAGAAGGTGCTAGGCACCGAAATATTCGAAGAAAGAGTATAAACAATATAAAAAATTTTTGTGAAAACTTTTGGATTCTTTTGAATCTTTTGAGTCTTTCGCAATAAATTTTGGCGCCTCTTTTATGTGTTCAACATTCAGATTGCAATGAGGCTCCGGGACAGCACTATTTTACAAGAAAAGACTGTTTTCTTTAGCAACATTTGTTTCCATTTAGCTTCCAGCCCTTCATCGAAGAAGGTTCCGAGTAGCGCGGAAAAGTCGTCATATGGTTGATGTGTAATGTAAATGTTGTTAGAGACACATTTCAGGATTAACGAAGAGTCTCAGCACCACTGTCAGCGAGCAACCATTAAAGGCAGTGGGCACCATGACCGGAGGCGGGCGGTTACCGCCAACATGAATGGTGGAAGGGCTGAGTGGGCGTGGCTAAAGGCACCATCATTAGTCTCGCTTGGTCGCTGAGATTCTCGCATCGTGCTCACTGCCTTGAATGATCGCCGCTTTGCTACTTCAGAAGTGCGCATGAAAATGTAAACCTTCCCTCGCGCTCTGGGGGGAAACCATCGAATTTTTTTTTTTGGTTAAGACCGTCCTCCCTCAAGCGACCAAAGATGACCCCTCGCTGGAGATTCCCCAGCGTACGACGTTGCCTTGATAATTATACCATGTATGGTTCATTATCAAAAGGCGCTCTCATTAGCTACAAACCTACTTTGCAATGACCGCCCTAATTCTGAACAGCAAGGAAATAGTGATTAACAGCGGCTTAACAATAAAGAATTAACTCACAAAATTACTAATAAGGTGATATTTAATGGGAAATTACGAGCAGCTGAATGAAAACAAACTAAGACAAAATATGTGGTCATGAATATCACCCTGAAAACGAAGCTGCATATTCACAAATTCAATGTCTATTTATAACTCATATCAGCCTGCAAGGAAAGTATAGAGTTATCTGGCATAATTGTGGCCACATCCTTGCTTTGAAGAAAGAGTTCGTGTTTACCCAATCCATCTCCCAGCTCTCCCTGGACTAGATGGCGCGCAGCGCAACTACAGAGAATATGCTTTTTCTTACGCCTCGAAATTGCTGGATAAGAGCTGAAGGGTTCTGCCACACTCTCTTGTCTCTGTTCCTAGTTTCCATTTCCTTTTCCCATCGCAGTATAGCGGTGGGGTTTCCATCATTTGTGTAGTCTCCCGCATACTTGCCTGTTTCTTTTTTCTACACTGGGTGTCTCCTCACCGTATTCCTATAGAACGCTCAGAATCATCATTGCTGTTCTGCTCTTTTCTTCCTTGTCAAGCTTTCTAAAGGGCACAAGAATTTGTCATCTCGTACTCGGTCTATAAGGGTAGCAGGGGCAGGACTGCCAAAGGTCTATACAGCTACTATCTCCGATAGATGAAGATGATAGTTAAATTCTGACGCCCTCTCTCCTTCCCCCTCCCCGCTCGCCCGCACACTGACAGCCAAAACGTTGATGGGACAAACTAAAAAACTCTTATCGGGAAACCTCGGAAAAAGTGGGGAAAAATCTGAGAAAAATTTTTTCGGTGGCACTATTTACCCTTTTCTGCTCCAACCAACCGGAATTTTGGGAACCGGAGAGCCAGTTTTTGACCGAATTTTTATCCGTGGACGGATTTCGCTCAAATGTTGTCTCCTAGGGTAGTTTGACTCCCTGGAATATCACATTCACTTAGCCCGAAACTTCCTGGCGCCCGCGCCACAGGCGCCCGTGATTTGGGGTATTTTGGCGCCAACGGCTGTAGCGCGGGCGCTAGGAGGTTTCGGGCCAAGCAAATGTGATGTCCGTGTTCAGAGTCAGACTACCTTGAAAGCAAGTTGTCAGCGGAATTTTGGTGATCTTAGGGTATTTCGGCGGCAGCGCCAATGTGCGTCCTGTGCGTGTATTTCCTGGAGGCTAAAAAACGGCGAAATTTCCTTGCAGGAAAAATGGAAAAAAGTGGTATTGGAGGTTGGAGAAATCTAGGAAAGTGGTAGGTTATGGGTAGGGGGGTCGTACTTGAGAACGGAACTAGGAGGGGGTCGTATTCTTCAGGAAGTGATCACAACGCGATAGCTGCACTGAGCAGGTTGCTGTATGGAGGAAAGTGGCGAAAAAAACGAATCGAAACCGGGCCTAAACCTGCGGAAAAAGCATTTGTTCCTCACGACTCGGAAAGCAATTTTAACGAATTTCCAGCTGGCATCGTGCCAATAATTGCTGCGGTAAATACGGCTGCATCTATGTATTCACACAGTCGTAGCACCGCAGTCGCATCATATCAATCCCTTCGCTTCATATTGTACTTCGCAAATGAAGCGATACGAGTATTGCTCGTCCATTTGTGGGCGGGCGGGCGCGGCGGGCGTCCGGGTCGGTACGTTGCAGCTGGATAGGGCACTATAGAGCGTATCTTCTTTGAAAAGCGCCACAGAGCGGCTTTGTTCAGTGGACGCCGAGTTCTGTTCCCACAAGCCGTATCAATATCCACACGTCTTTGAAAAAGTGTCGTGCCACTTGCTATCTAACCCAGTTTTTCGTAGCCTCGACGTACACTCCTATTCATCCTACGCTTGACAAGAGACGAAAGTTATTCAGTAGGACTCGGGGCCGGTAGAAGGCTGCGCGCTGCATTTCACTTTTCATCACTTTGTCGTCTGCACTGTGTTCCGCAAAAAAACTTATTCTTCTTCCAACTACGCTAGCACAGATTGACGTATGCTTCTTGTGGAGGAACTCCTCCCCCCCTCAACATACTTCTCCATTCTGGTTCTTGCCATAAGTGAAGGAATGGGTCGGCGCAGTCATAGAACTAGGCCATTTTTGCTGCCCGAAGGTGTGCATTAAAGGCACATTCCGATAAAATAAGGCTATGACCTCTCAAATGTGTCGGACGATCCGGAAGGCGATTTTGAGGCTGCGCTACTTTCAAAATGTGAAAAACGGCAAGAACTCCGCTAGAAGCTGACTAATTAGGCCCATGGACACCCCTTAGGCCCATGCCGACCCTCACCGGCTGCTAGCTACTAGCTAGTAGCCACTATGTTATCTTTCTTCTATAACATTTCGAACTGCTTTTTCTGCTGCTTTTCTCCGCTAATCAGATACTTAGCACTTTTTTGTGCCTATGAGTTCCGTTTCCCGCAATTTGCGGTCGCCGAACTGTGCCTTTAAGGCTGAAGAGTAGTGATAGCTAGGTGCCGTTTTGGACACCATTCACATAGGAAGCATGCAAACGTAACGTGCCGCACAACCAGAAAAACGCCTAACTATGGCTCAATGCACTAGTTGTTGGCTTCCTCTCATATTTCATTGCTCTCTACATTTGACCGCGGTGAGCGACTTGCGTTCATGTTGTTCGCTGCGAGGACCTCACCACTGACGCACAGATCGAACGTTGTGGAGAGTGAGCCCGCTGGTAGCAAATCCGAAATTTGGTATCCAGTGTTCACAACCCACCAGCCTCATTTGCGTTCATTTCTGAGTGAAAAAAGTGGTACAAATGTACAGGTACGGCCCTAGCACATGGCCCCACTTCTCACATAGTAAGGATTCATCTTGCAGCTAAGCGTACAGCGCAATTTAAATACATTTCACCTTTGATGCGAGGCGTCACGGGTAGTAGGACTAAATCATGAACCAGTAGCCCATAAGTAACTCCCCAGTAGAGAAAAAAACGAAAACAAGACTTGGGGACACTCTGAACAGGGAATCCCTTAGCAGTGGAGTCGGCGCCTTGGACGAGTTTGTCGGACATCGGCAAACCCAATCAGCAGGAATCGACGTGCAATCAGTTTCCGGCAAGAGCACTGGAAATCACCCTACGACGCTCCAGGCAACGCTATGCACACACGCAGTTCCGCTTGTAAGCCGTTGTCTTGCAGAGTGAAAGTAATCGTTGGTTGCAAATCAGGTTGCCCGAATAATCACGCGGCTCTCGGCCTTCTTTATCTCGCCATGAGTGACGAAAGTGGTATATTCTCTGCGAATGCGGACCAAGATGCCAAATGCACGGAGGCATTTTGGATCACTTGATCGCGGGCACTGTTCCAAAAAGGTGGTTTGAGCATGATTGGTAGAAGAAATACCTACAAAGCAATTATATTGATCCAAATACTTTCTGATATGATCACTTTAAGAGGTTCGCATAGAGGAACGGCTGCACACATGGCAATGTTGACGATAAGCTGAATGACAAGAAATTTTTACTCTTTGAAAGAATTAACGGAAAGGGTTAATCCGCCCACCATTTAGGCTGTAAGCGCACGCAAAAATACTTTACGAAACGAATCCAGCTCTTTATTAGAGTCATTCATCACAATAGTACGCCCTAATCTGGGTCTTGTGAAACCGCCTCTCCCTCATCGACCTGAAAGGAAACCTCGTATGTACACCTGATTTTCTAAAGAAGCAATCCTGCTACTAACCTCCTTGCTCTGTGATGGCTTGCTTCGTTGTTCAGCAATCCGGTTCTTTGTACCGCCCTCCTCATCGACCTGAAAAGAAACCTCGTATGTACACCTGATTTTCTATTGAAAGAAGCAATCCTGCTACTAACCTCCTTGCTCTGTGATGGCTTGCTTCGTTGCTCAGCAATCTGGTTCTTTGTACCGCCATCCTCATCGGTCTGGAAGGAAACCTTGCAATTACAACTGGTTTTCTACGGAATAGCTGAACCCCGATACTAACCTCTTTGCTTCGTGATGGCTTGCTTCGTTGCTCAACTTGATCGCCGCTCATTCTTGAACATACTGACCAAACCTGTTTACGCGAATGCCGGGGGTTAAATGATACTCAATGGACTGGGAGGATCTTGATGATATGAGGCCAGCGAGTGATATGCTTGGCGAATAATGACAATTGCAATTTTTTCGTCCTTTCAAGTAAGTCAACAAGTTTAGTGGTAGATTATCATTTTAAGGAACCTTTCCCAACGCATTGCTTAACCGGGGCTTTAGTACTCAAGTAGACAAGGGGATGTCGAACAGGAGCGGTGTCGCAAGCGGTACTCCACGCGCCACACCTAGTATGTTCCATAGTGGAAATGAATCATCCGCATGCGTATAACATAGACTCCGCAAAACGTCACAACGCTACTCTCCAGCCTGACACTCGTGGACAACACCTGGTGAAGGTTCGTGCAACGGCACCGTCGGAAAACTGTGTAAAATAGTCGTCCGAGGCGAGCACTGGTGGACATGGCGGCGCCGTCGCCCCCGCTAGAGGAAGTGATCGAGCGTGTGGCACACTCCACATCCCAGCGATGGAGTGGGCGTGGCTGTGCATTTCACTTGAGCATGGCGTAGGATGCGTTGCTTGTGGGATATTTCCACTTGAAACAAGTGTCATAATATCTTGTCTCATGTCTGCATTCGTACTGTAACTGCAGTATCCCTCCAGAAGCGCAGCTGTCGCCTTATTCGAATGAAGTAGGCAGCTATGGACTTCCCATCTTTAGGTCATGAGTGTACGGTCTTGTTCGCTGCAGATGATGGGGCGTGTCAGTGAGGCTGGGATTGGCGCAACCCGCTCTCCACCGGAGCGGATAAGCGACAACACTCGCTGGAAAATGACTAACATAAAATCACCAGGCAGATTTTTAAGAAAGATCCGATGCGTTCCGAAACATATAGGGAAGAACATATCTCAGGTTGATTGTTCGTAGTGATCTAGGATCCTCGCAAGAGCGAAAACCGTGGGAAAATGCAAACATGACGCCCTTATCGGTTCTGCTATGGAAGCAATCATCGCCGGTTTCTAAGTCACCTGGGACCATCCCAATCTTCCTGCACGTTCATACGGCCAGGAACGCTACAAGAGAAAGACTGACAGTTTATGAATCTAACACATGACTGTAAAAAAATGAAATTCAGCGCTGATTTTTGTTCCTTTGCAGGGCCATTCGGGTTTTTCTAACCCCACAATTACTATTTATTAATGATCCGCTTAATGACTTTCTGAGACAGTTGGACTCAAACCAGAGTTTCTATCTTCCCAGAAAAGTCTGACTTCACTCTTCCTTCCCTATAGCGGTTGAATACCAAAATGGTTTGTTCCAACATGGAACCGCAAATTGTATGCCTCGTCATCCGGGCAGTTGATTAGGGCGGACGTCAACGGGCCGCAGCGCGTGCCAGGAACTATTTGCTTTTTCCAGGCTAATTTAGTCATTTTTTCCAACTTTTCACTGTTTTGGCTACTTTTTCCAAGATTAGCAGCTCCTTATCTTCACAAGGTGGAAAAAATGACTAAATTAGCCTGGAAAAAGCAAATAGTTCCTGGCACGCGCTGCGGCCCGTTGACGACCGCCCTAATCAACTGCCCGGATGACGAGGTATGTAGTGCGATGGGTGAGACGTTCCACCACGCGTCATTGCTTTCAATTTGCCTCCTAAGGGTTGTCCCACCTAACACCCCGTAACACCTAGTTTTTGTGATTATTTTTCTAAAAGTGTGGGAAAAAATATAGAAGACCCTAAAGAACCTGCGATTAGCGAATCCTGAGCGGGTGATAAGAGAACCAAAAAGATAAGCTGACACCAGCTGCCGAGTTAGTTCGCCATGCTCATCTCGCTGCTCGTCCTGTTCATTGGGGTGGTAAGCACACTACTTCATCTTTTTAGTACATTGCATACCGTATGGTGGTCGTACTGGCTGACGCTAAAGTCATTGATTTCGAGATTATATTCTTGTTTATTAAACTTTTTCTCATTTTTTAGTGTGCCATATCCCCTCGACAACTCAAACGGTTTTTTTTTTTGGAGAGAAGGTGGAGAAGTTTTCAACGGAAAAAATTCCGAGAAGTGGTGCATAAGTGGGGGAGTTTCAGGAAAGAAGAGCGGGGCGGCACTAAGCAGAGTCCAAATTTCTGAAGGAATGGGGGGCAGCGGGGACGTTTTCGCAAAAACTTTTGCCAGGACGTGCCACCCATCTTTGTCTCCGCTAGCGTGGGGAATACAGTACCTGTTCGCTTCACATAAAATTTCGAAATTTTTAGTATTTTTGTCAGATGCCAGGAAAGTGTTGGCTCTGAGGGTATCCTATCGTAAAATAGTTTTTCGACACAAGTAATCTCTGGAGTTAGGTTCTTATTTGTAGCAAGAACTAAGCCCAAGAGCTGACCGCTTGTGGGGCCGGGAAACAACTCAAGACCACTTTTCATTTCTCCGTAACTGAGAAACTTTGAAAGGAAGGTGTTTCACTTCGTTTCAGCTGTACCAGTGCGATGCTCGAATCGTCCCAAATCCGGACTATCCTCCGGAATGCCGAGTTGGAGAGGCGAATCTCTATGATCCGTCTAAATCCATGGAGGTATTCTCAAGTGACTTTCCCTGCATTTCTGGTATTGAACGTTAGAAGTCACTTAGGTACCGTGGTTCACAGTCGACCTAGACGCACCCGCCAAGGAGCGATTCAAGCACGTCGTACGACCGTTCAAAAACCAAATTCAGGCTGTTTTCGACGTACTCGGGGTGAGTTACAGAGTTTTATTGAGAGACGCATTGAGGAAAATTGTCTCAAACTAGCCATGTAGAGGAAATAGTTCATTGATGGAACTGTCTCATAGGTTCAAGCGTAAAATAGCCTTTATGTGGAAACTTGGCTGATTGACTACTATAGAAGTTTCAGAAACAGTTGCTGTTCCAGGAGCAAAGCCTTCCACTGCGAGGGGATAATCATTCACACATAGTTTTATTCCCTAGCACCTCGGAAAGCTTTATTCTGTGGGAGTCGACAGTTGACTCACAACATTCCTTCCAGAATTTCTTCTCTATCATCCCTGGAATTCCCGTATGGGACCTGGCCGGTGATCTTATGCTAAAGGTGTTCGAAGAAGGAATGATTATGCAGCCATACAAGGACGAAGTGCAAGTGAGTCATACATTTATT